TTTAGCTGTAGGGTTTTAATTTGTGTATGCACAATGGTGATGTGTATTTCAAAATGTTGCATAATGATTATGAATGCATTCACATGGGGTCAAGGACATGTGTAGTGTCATGCCTTGGATATAGTTTGTCTGTGTACAATAACTAAAATGGTTTTGTGATTACAAGTGATGCAAGCTCAGCGTTGCCCCACATTGAATCTACTCTACTCAGTCGAAGACGGAAATAGGATTGGCATACCGTTGCCATCGTAAGATGCGTAGCAAGGGGAGATTACTTTCCATTGTCAGTTGAATGAATGGTCGATCTCATCTTTTCTTGCTTTGAGATTTATCGATATGAAGAACGATCCCAATACCTGACGAGTTACACTATTGATATTCAGTGTAGCTACGACGTAAATTGTGTCACGCATATTTCTGAACTTTAAAGGACAAGGCCCTGCATCCAGCATATCCTGGCAAAACATGGTGTGCTCAGTTTCGACTTCCCGCAACCGGGAATTCAGATGCCCTTGTACGCCACTAGTTACAGGTAAAAAGGGTTCCTTTTGGGGCAGGGAGAATGGACGCTTACTGCTTTCTGCAGGTAATTGTGTATTACGGTTTACGGGTACCTTGTACGCGAGACTGCGTGGAAAAGTGGTCAGTAGTGACCGGTGGGTCACAAATTCCAAATTTTGATCATAAATTTGTGCCCAGTTAAAGGTTTTTCTGGCAGAATTTTTGATATCCCTTGTTTCCATCATTCTATGTGCATGTGTATGATTCAGGATTTGATGAAGATATCTTCTCCAGAATATTTGGCGGTGGTGGTTTGTTTGGTAAGCCAATGCATCCTACCTTGTCCCTGATGTTGTGAGAGACGAGTGACCTATACAATATCCATCCTTAAATAGTCAGTTGAGTAACTTGAGTCATTGCATGCCCTTTATTTCCCAATACAGTACAAGTCATGTACTTGGTTGTTTTCACCATTTCAGTTACCGGTATCCAACATGGCTCCATTGCAGAGGTGGTGGGACGAGTTCAGTTTGACTGTACAATGTATATGTGCCGGTGCGTTTCTTAATTATGGACTGCAGGTGGCATGGGAGGCATGGGCGGAATGGGTGGATTCCCATTTGGTGGCATGGGTGGAGGTATGGGTGGTGGCGGCGGCGGTGGCGCAAGACGGCGCAGGAAGGGCGAAGATATTGCCCATCCTTTGGCGTAAGTGTACATATGACTTGCACTATGGTTGTGACACTTTTCAATTTTTCTGATGCTATCTAAATGGCAATAGCAGAACATTCCACAGCAGAAATCGAGCCGTTCTCGTGGATTTGACTGTCGTCTAGATTCAGTCCATATCAGGTGACCAGCTCAGTGATTGTGTTCTTGTGAACTCTTCTGAACCTCATGCTAATATGTGTGCCACACTGACGTAGGAACATGGGCTTTTCCTGTGGCAGATCATTCAGCAGACAGCATTCGTTTTCTCCAGACGTGTCTGTCCTTGAAACCCATGCTTGTGTGCTATGTGCAATGTTCTGTCTATGATCTAATTTGCTAGCAGTTCTCTTAGTATACATCCTTTTTTGGTAGGTTGGCAGCCAAGAGTCCATCTAGCGCCAAATTCATTTGGTCATGTTATAGAATGGCTTCCCGTTCCCTTGTATTTGCTTCTTTTTGTGTTTAGCGTTTCCCTTGAGGATCTCTACAATGGACGTGAGACTAAACTACACTTATCGAAGGACGTGATCTGCGCTAAATGCAAGGGGTATGTCCTTCGGCGTCTCACATTTTTTTGTATTTTGTGTCTGGACGCTACTTGCAGTAATGGCAATTCTAACACCTGACCCGGTTTCCTGCAGCTCAGTGTGAGCCTGGATTTGCTCACCCTCAGTATGCATGTGTGTCCATGCTGAGGTTTGAAAAAAGTGGAGATACATTTCGTAGTCACGCAGTTGCCATGTGTTTGCATACATGTGTCCCAGTGTGCTATAATTATGTGCTTTGGGGTCAGATTTCACATTCCACCACTGTTTCACCAGTCCGAGGATTACTTACTTAGAACATCCGTTGGGAGTGTCCATATAGTGCTGTGCATGTGTGTTCATTTGTGATCAACATTTGGAGGAAATGGCGTCAGAAATTGAATGTCAGTGGCGCTGTTAACCCTTTCAGGGCCACTGCTGATTCCACGTATTCCCGCCAGGGCACACGCTGACGCGTGCCTCCGCCAGAATACGCAACTGCAAAATTTTATAATTTCACTCACCAGTGGCAGAAGTTCTCCATCTTTGGCTCATCAGCAGGCTACAGATCTCCTCTCTCCAAATCATGCAGCTAGATGTCCAGCATGGGCAACAGAATCGCCTTCATGCCATTTGAGGGCTGCCCCATTGCGCCGGAGTGAGATACTTTACCCACCTCGACAAATATCTTTGGTTCTGAAGTTTTACTCAACGCAGAACAATGATTCAAAGTTCTCCAGATTCATGAAGTTCCAGCGAATCCTTTGGGCTCTACTTCGCATGCGCCGCGCAACATAGAGGAAGTCCCCGTTTGAGAGATACTGATAGATGCAGATCACTGCACACACAATTTGTCAAAAAGTGCAAACGTATTTGTGTTTCGCTCTTCGTCAAGCTTATTCTCTCAGCTTTCCAACGAGCTTTCATTTGCGATGATCTGAGAAAGGACACCAGAGTTACGATAATTTGAACACTGGTGTGTATGCACTGTACAGACGTATGCACTCTCAGGACGAGTATACTCGTCCTCGGGAATACAGCGTACCTTTTTTTGGACGAGTTAACTCGTCCTCGGTCCTCAAAGGGTTCAGCTGTGTTCACAATTGCATGGCCATTAACATGACAACCGTTGTTTCTAGAATGTATAGCTTTAGTGTCAGTGTCAAGCATGTTTTCCTCGTTTCTCCCAGTTCATACTTCTCGTCCGGAGCACACAGCATAAGACCTTTTGATCTCTGATTCCTTCTTGAGCTTAGTCAACAACATGAGTACATGTACCTCGATTTTCTCGTCATGTGTTTGCTGGACAACGGTGGCGGGAGAGCCCTAGTTGTCATGGTGCAGATTCAAGCATTGGTGCTTGCCAGTGTCTGGACTGCCGGACAGGGATCCTGAAAATTGTTTTTTTAACTGCATGTTGAGAAAGTAATTCAATTCCGCTGGTATCGCCACGCGAAATATTTTCCAGGGAATGTTTTAGTAGGACACTATGTATGCCCTAAACATGCACAGATTCCCGCATTTGTCTCTAAGTTGCCAGTCTCAATTAAGCAAATCGGCCATTGCGTTGACGTCCTTCATGATCAGCGATGATCTTGGTCTATTGTAACATCTGTGACAAATGAGTGTTCACATCGTACAGCGCTCTACGGACTTATGAATAGTCACAGCTGCTATTCCAGGCGACTCCTTAGCCCTGATCACGGGTACCAGCAGTTACTGACATTTGTGTTATGTTTTGTTCTGGTGTATTTTGTTCTTTCATGGCTTCAGGAAAGGTGGGAAAGAAGGAGCTGTTCAGCCTTGCAAGTCATGTAATGGTCGTGGTATCAAGGTAGTGCTCAGACAAATTGGACCCGGTATGGTTTCACAATCGCAAAGCATGTGCTCAGATTGCCGTGGAGAAGGTAATTTTACTACTGTTCGTTCAGTGAAACTTGCCTGTCCTACTGAAGATGTATAAATATAATCCATCCACATGCTGCATGCTTACTGCCTAGCCTTCGGTGAGAATACATGTCCAGTTGTATCATTATCTGTATCTCTTACATGTGCTGCAGTGTTGGCAAGTGAAACCTGTTCAATTATTCCGTAAATGGTGCCTTGCTCTCTCTCTCTCTCTCTCTCTCTCTCTCACTCTCTCACTCTCACACACACACACACTCACTCACTCTCTCACTCTCGGTCATCGCATGTCATGTTATACTTGGTATTGTGTTGTGCTATAATGTGTGCCCGCACTGCTGCCATTGTAGGTGAAATCATTCGTGAGAAAGACCGTTGCAAGACCTGCGTGGGCAAGCGTGTTGTTAACGAGAGCAAGACTTTGGAGGTTCATGTCGACAAGGGTATGCGTGATGGTCAGCGAATCACCTTCGCTGGAGAAGGAGACCAGCACCCTGACATGGAACCTGGTGATGTTCATCTCGTGCTTCAGCTGAAGGAGCACTCTGTGTTCCAGCGTCAAGGTGATGTCTTGATCATGGAGAAGAAGATCACCCTGACAGAAGCTCTATGCTCTGCACAGTTTACTATAGATCATCTGGATGGTAGACAGTTGCTGGTGAAATCACCGCCTGGCTATGTCATTGAGCCTGGTAAGCTGTAGCCGTACCCTACATTGTAGTCGTTTCCACTGTATACTCTTGTTCAGCTGTCTGTACAGATCAAGAGTGCCTTTGATGTCTTTCAGCTTTGCATCCTTTTGAGCTCTTTGGCTTACAGCTTGACTTCCGCGTACCCGCTTGTACGTGTACGTGTGCGTGAGTGTGCGCGCACGCTGTGTGTCGGGGGATGATTGCATATGCAGACAAATCTCTTATCCTTAGTATCAAGTCCTAGGTCATCTGTATAATTATAATATGTTCCTGCCTCGTCTCTGCCGTCATGTCTACTAGTAGTTTGAGGTGATTACCTTTGTGTGTGTCTGTGTTGTTATTGTCTTGTTTTGCCAGGCTCAACTCAGGTTGTTCCCAATGAAGGAATGCCCCACTACCGAAGTCCCTTTGAGAAGGGTAATCTTATCATTAAGTTCGAAGTTGAGTTTCCAAAGAATGGATTTGCATCCGAGGACCACCTGAAAGTAAGTTGAATGCAACATGCTGCTGTCTGGATGTCTGTGTTCAAAATGGACGCGAACAGTCAATCTGACTGTCCTCGTTAGCGTTCGTATCAGTACTGCTAGTCTCACGAAAATTGGCTTGTAGATGTTGTGAAATTGTGTCCTGCTTCAAACGCACGCCGTGCAGGTTGAGCAGCATCCCTCCTCCAACCTGGTGGCAGCGGACCCAGAGTTCGGCGATATTGAGATTGTCAATACCGAGGCTCGTCAACAGTTAATTGACTGAACCGAACCCCATACAAGATACTCCTGTCTTCCTTGTGTTGCTTATACTAGAATGATCTTGACTCTCAGTGATGGCTTGGTGGCCTGTCCTGCTGCTTTTGCTGCTGCCTCCGTGCATGCTGTACCACCATGTATTCTCATGCAGTCTTCATAGTCTTCATCTTTTGACATTGGGGTTTTTTTGCACGCAAGGGAGGGTATGTTCTGAGGGGGAAACAGAGAGAATAAGCATCCCTCCAGCACAAATTAAATGCCATAGCCTAGGTGGCAGGTACATGTAGTCTAACATCATAGTGACTACTCGCCTTTGCTGCGCCTCTCGCCTTATCTACTGTACAAGCAGAAATATTCATCTGGAATTTAATTTCGTCTTTTTCGTCCACGGAGCTTTTGGACTAAATTAAATGCCGGACTAATGTCGATTTAAAAAGGCGACGTGGAGACAATAATCTGTTAATAATGCAATGAATATAACTAAATGCACACTCATATCACAAACCATGGGGACGAATAAGGTATTCCAGAACGTTTTCTTGTCACAATTATCAATGGAATTCGTGACTAAAGAGAATGATGAAACTACAATAGGATTTATACACTTGGAGTCAAACAATGAGGATACAAGAATAGTAAGAAAAATAGCACAAACTCAGGAATAATTTGCACAGGTAATAAAACACTGTACAGGTGAGAAATGATAGGAAATTCAGCAAGTGCAGTGTGACAATGTACATGCATGTGCAAGTGTGTGTGAGTGCGAATTTACTGGAAGAGTGTAAGTGCGGTGAGTCGGTGACATTTTCTTTTTGTTTACAAAGATTTGGATCACGGATGCGACTGTAGACTGCTTCTAGAACTTTCAACTGCTTGAAGCTACTTGCAGAACGAACAGCACTGAACCAAGAATCCGATTTGTCCAGCTTTTAAATGCACTCTTATGATCCATGGACGAAATTTACAACTGGACGGATTCCCTTTCTTTGCAGTTTGACGACATTTTCTGCCTGTGCAGTACAGTGTCATTTTACTATAGCACCCATGTAAATTCTGCCGTACATTGCTGCTTTTCAAAGAAACGGTGGACATGCTTGTGAATTTCACATCATCAATGCTGGTGGTGCATAGGTGTCGCACACTGTGGCTTCTATGCTTTTGCTCATTGTCTCACTTCTGTATATAAAACGACTGCCGTGTTTTGGTTTGCCAATGTTGTGCTTGCTACAGAAACTGGAGCAACTGCTTCCCGCTCGGCCAGCAGCAGTTGAGGTGAGTGAGGATGCAGAGGAAGTGGACTTGATGGAGTACGACCCGAGCCAGCATACGGACGGTAGAGGTCGACGTGGCGAAGCATATCAGGATGGTGACAGTGACGATGAAGGAGCTGGTGGTGGTCCCAGAGTGCAGTGTGCACAGCAGTAAATGCCTGTACTGTCGGTGTACTGCTGTTTGACTGCTATGCTGAACTAGCATCACCGGACTGTTGAGTCTCTACTGCTCTGCAGAAAGAATAAAAAGCTTGGCTTCATGCCCTGAGAGCATGCAGGGACAGTTTGACTGAGGTGCTCGTTTCCATACTGCATGGAGGTGCGTTAGACTTAGAGGTGAAGAAAATGTCCCTTGTGCTGTCTCTGTGTTCTTGTACCTTTGCCATGTCACTGCGGTGTTTTGTGCAATGCCATGTGCCACCTTGTACAGTGTATTGTGTGGCAATAACAGTGCACGTGGTACTTCTGCCCTGTGCTTTACGCTGCTAGTCATCTTTACTTTGCGTTTCGGCTTTACTCCCTAGGTTGCACAGCAGAGAATAGTAGTACTAAGGTAGAAGCCAAACTAAACTATGTACAGACTACTTTCTCTCTCTATCTTTACCGTGTGTATACATCAAAGGTGACGCTCTTTTCGTATCCTTACCATTGATGTCTCTCAAGGTGTCTCTTCCTCTGTTGCATGCCTTCCATCGGCTGCTCACCTCCTGTCTGGATTTTGTTGTACTTTGGCTGGCCCTCCTTATGCACAGTTGCATCTCGAGACTTTATCAGCAGTGCTGTGTTTTTCTCGTTGTGTGCTCAAGTGTGTATGGGTATGTGTCAGCAGATATCTTTAAATTAATGACGATGTGTCGCGCGATTTTTGAATCATTTCTATGAGATGTCAAGTGAACACGTGCTATCAAGTCTCTCAAGAGTATGTCTATTTTTCTGTGCTCTCAGCAAGACTATCCCGCTAGCTTCCAGTGCATGTGCCGTGTGCGTGAGTGTTCCTAGTTTATCTTAGATAGGAGTTGTACTAGTACCTGGCTACAACTGACTCCCTGACCTCAGCCTCTCACTTTGGCTATTCACCCCATCATCCAGGCATTTTCTGTTACACATCGTGTTTTCCATGACACACAAAAGTGACAATGCTGGATACTGCATGTGCTTGTAGTCTCTACCATTCTCGTCCTTGATTGTAGAGTACTGGCTGATACAGTAAATCTATACACATTATGTATTACAAGTAATAGTATACAGTACATGGTGTATGAAGATCGAGGTTTTGGGGATGATTCAGCACCCTTACCAAGTTACCAGGCATTCAGTAACAAAACAAATTTTCCATCAACAACAGACTTTTATCACATGGAATGCATGCAGAGATTCACGAAGAGTACATTGTACAGTCGTCTCTCTCTAATCCAGCACAATTTTCAGTAGCCAAAATATCCTCTTCATGCACATAAGTGACATTGCAGCAGTAGATCCGATTTGTTAATCCAGCACCCTCCCTAATCCAGCAGATTTTCCGTGGCACAAATTGCGCCAGATTATAGAGGGACCACTGTACTGTCAACAAGTCCACAGAACTACGCTTACAATGTAGTCCCCCGTAATTGGGAGATCCAAACATCATTACGGAAAACAACTGGTATGCACAAGGATAGGTGGAGATGCAGATGTTCATGCAACATCTGCTGCGGTGCAACTCGTACTGCCTTGGCATAATGCAGGCCAATATAACTATGCAAGAAAAACTGTGATAGAGATTGGCAAACGAGACAGACCCGCAGAGTGTTAGCTTTGTACAAAAAAAATCTACATACAGTGGCAGTATAGCCTATAGGTTGAAGCACAAGACTGTTAAAAACAAAAGATAAGACAAAGAGCTGTACCATCAGAAGTAATGCAAGTATGTACAAGACTTTGTTCTAGATTCATCAGTAGAGGCAAGAGCAAAAGAACAGATAGCATAGTTACATCGAGCCAAGAATAAGATAAAAAAAGAAAAGGCAGAACAGGTGTTAGAACACAGGAGACCCGATGATACTAATGCACGCCTCAAGTGAAAGCAACACATTACCGTGGCCACAGCACAGAAAACTATAGCAGTAGAAAAGTTGTAGGACTAGATCGAGCCAATCAAAAAGTCAACTATCAGCAAAGCTGCATCAATATGCCTGCGTCGCCAAACGGGCTGCAGATAGTTGAAAGCAAGAATAAAATCTAAACTAAAGATGAATGAATCTCAATAGGGACGGACTGCGCAGATAGCACAGCTTCTTCTTCCTTCAGGAAATGAGAGTGAAAGGATGGTGTGAGTAGAAAGAAGGGAAAGGGAAAATTTCATGCTCTAGACTAGAACAGCAAAGCTGTAGTACTAATATTTCATGCCGAGGACCAAGTCCAGTATGTTTCATGCAGGCATCTGTTCGGGTCTCTCAATGCTGCCAAAAGTCATTGCTATTATGATAAATAAACACATCAACAAGGCTGCAATTGCACAGCCCTGTCACCAGGGAGGTGACCTAAAATGGTAAAGAAAAGCATCCAGATGCAGGCAAACTGCAACTTATGCTGTGCACAGCTTTTCCACAACAGCTCTCTCATCTTCTGGCAACAAACCAAGGATAGCTTGCCAAGTATCAGGCGAACTGCGTACCTGCTTCAAGATCGTGATCATCTGCTCCACAATTGCCGGTGCATCGGCCAGTACCTCACTGCCCAGGGCTCTGGCAAAGACACGGACGATACGCGGTAGATTAACATGCTCCTCCCCCAGGATGTACACATTATTCTGCATAATAAGCTCGCAGAGGTACTCGTACACAAATGGTGCTTCCTCTTCTTCGTTGATGATAGGCAGCCATGATAACCAATGTGGTAGAATGTCGCCAAGGTTGAGTACACCTTCTGGTAGAGTGCGGCAAATCTTGGCGACGGCTGAGATGCAATTCTCATTGGCGCAGCATGACATATAGTCACTTGGATCCACTTCCATACTACAGGCTTCGGCTAGGCGTGGTAAAGCAGAGACACAAGCCTTGTAGTATGCCTCACCACCATGGAGAGCCATGATGCCGACGCCGTAAGCGGCTGCTTGACGTACCTCACTCGATGCGTCCAGAATGAATGCGATCATTGGCTCCAGGAAGAATTGCTGGTAGCGAACCGACTCACGACCACCAAATTCAATGACGTCGTCAAATACACACAACGCCCACTGGTGCTCTTCATAAGTGCGACCTTGTTCTAGCATCCGTGTGAAGAAAGGCACAAGAGAGTCGAAGAACGGCAGCAAGCTGGCACGGTGGACAGCAAAAAGCGCATGCAGCACATCCGTAATTTTGCCCAGAACTTGCTCATCAGACTCCCTCTCCATTTCCAAATCTTCGTCGGCGTCCTCATCGTGATCTTCCTCTTGCTTCTGCGCAAGGCGCTCCTCATGCCGGCTGAAATGCTCAGTTACACGAGCAAGGATGATCCCCATAAGCACTGAGACAACCTCGGTATTGAATCCCACTGAGCCCAGAACATCTACGCAGTCGCTGAGCGAGCATAGCATGGCGGAGAGAACTTGGCGATCAGGCTCATGTGCACATGCACTGAACAGCTCTTCTCGAAAGATGATCCAGATTGACTGCATTGCTTCATCGCCATGAGGCTTTACGCTGCTCAACAGTAGCGGCAGACACTCAGCAGCTGATTGGCGCACACTCTCGTCAAAGTAGAACTTCAGCAGTGGGCACATTACATTGGCAATTTGAGGAGCGTGGTCAGCAAAACCAACACCCAGCTCCCGTACAAAAGACGTGATGGTGTCGACAGCTGTTGCTTTCTCTTGCAGACCAGCCGTCTTCAATCCAAATCGCTGTTGATCAGTCAGAGTCATGAACTGCCAGCCATCTTTCTCATCGAATTGAGCCTTGGCCTCTTCACTCTCCACAATAACGACTTCCGGCTGCAGCTCCGCTGCTGCTATCGTCATCGGCAGAACCAGTCCAAGGTATGGGACAAAATCGTGCTGCAGAATGCTTGCCATTCTCGGCCAAGCTGAAATCATGTAGGAGATTTGGGGGTCACTGGGATCCATCTCTCCACTGTTGCTTTCCTTCAGTATACGCACTAACAGGACCATGATCGGCTCAACGTCGGGTCGGAGCTTCTCTGGTGCAGCCGCACCAATAGTCGTAATGCACTCAATTGCTTTACCTCGCAGGGTTCTCAGCTCATCGGAAACTGCGTTCTCAAGCAAGAACTTGAGACGTGGCATGAAGCGGTCGTAATGGGGCTCAAAGTGCTTGTCCGCTACATCAGCAAGCGTGGTGATAAGCAGAATGATGGCCTGTAGAACCATAGTACGACCACGCGCAACCAGATCATCCAGTGCCCGTCCAAACAACTCCTCTACTTTAATGCATATCGGACTGAGGTATGGGATGAGGAGATTCTGCGGAAGGTACGACACGAAATTGATCAGGGCAGAGAAGGCATGTTCCTGGACTCGCGCTGTTTGTGGTGACTCAATGACCATGAGGATGGCTGGGATGATAGTGGAATGGTACTTGCGTTGAATATCCTGGGCAAGGTCAATGCCCATCTGGCCAATAGCATTGCAAGCACTGAAGCGAACACGAGGATGACTGTCTTGAAGAAACGGCAGCGCGCGGGTTAAGATCTCTTGCAAATGGGGAAGCATCTGCTTGTGACAACCCTCCGCCATTGCCGAAACAGCCAGCAGTGCACCGTATCTGTGCTCCCACTTTGGACTGGCAAGCATTGGTCCCAGCGCAACCATAACCAATGGCAGGATACATTTGCCACCTAAGGACATTGCCAAGCGGTCCAATGCTGCTTCGCCATATACAGAGTTGGTGGTCTCATCTCCTTGATCTGGTGTATCCTGGTCGGCCCAATTGTCATCATCTTCAACATCTACCATGAAAGAGAGTATTTGTTGAACAATGTTCTGCAGGTAATTTCCAGCCCGCTTACGAATCATGGCCGGAGCTTCTTCAGCGAGCGTAACGACAATCTCCAGTCCTAATTGCCGCACTTTGTCTTCCAGGTCTGCTGTGCCAGCAATTTTCAAGCTGAGAATAACAATTTGCTCAAGACATCCGCGCAGCATCTTTGGTTGCCGTTGACAGAAATCTAAGAACGACTGCAGAAGGCTATCATCGACTGAGTCATCACTGACACTTTTCGCTGTTACTTGCACCATGCCAGGGATCATGTCCACAAATCCATTTCGGCCAGCATCGTTACGCAGCGAACCCAGAAAAGCAGCTGTGGCCTTGCATGCTGCATAAGACACAGGGGTATGTGGATCGCTCATACATTCTACAAGTAAGCTCTTGATAACTGACATATAGTGATTACGCTGCTCTCCAAATACTGTCGGCGTCGAAGCAATGATGTGAAGAGCTGCTTCCCTGAGCTCGCCACGCTCTGACCTACCGAATTGAAATAGGGAACTGAGCACCTCAGGCCACAGATTATTGCCACTGTCATCTTGCTGACACCGTGCAAATTCAGCCACAGCATCACATATTCTTCGCCTGACAAGAGGCTGTGTTTCACGTTCGATCAACTGAAGAAGTATACTCTTCGCTTGAGTAAATAATTCTACACTCGCTTCTTTCTCAAAGCTGGAGTACTCGTTAACAAAAACTCTTCTGAGAAGAACTGCAGCCAGTGTCCTGATGACAGTTCCTTCATCAGCGGCCAATGCGGGGCTTCCAACTGCATTCAGAAGAGCAGGAACACGCACGCTCATAGACAAACTTTGGTAAGATTTTTCTGCAGCGTTCCTGGCATCGTTGTTCTCGGATAAAAGTTGCTGTAATAAGCCAACAAATGCATCAGCTTCGACTGCCATCCTCTAAATAATTGGACTCGCCGACAATGGCAAGCCAGCTACACGTCCGTCAACAAACCAAGCAAGTGAATCTAAGCCAGACTACAATTATTGTAAAACATCCTTCATTCACCGTGAAATAAATTTCGACGAAAATGTTGGAACAAGAAGAAGTGAGTTGTTTGAAGCCCTCCCAACGACACAGTCATGTACGAGTACAATCAACTAGATCGATCGTGCATGCACCCGGTACCTACGGTAGACTGTACTACGTCTAGTCTATGCACATAAAGAAGTCACAGACTCACAGGATTCTTTGCATAATTCTTTGCATTATTTTTTCTCTTGTTTGCTGTATTTTTGCAGAATCGACCTTTCATTCTTGACGCCATATTTACCGCGCATGCTCCGTGCGACCTTTCTCTTCCACAGCTTCGAAAAAATGGCGAGTTCACTTTGGATTGCTGTTTGGCCTTTCTTCGCCTATCTTACTGGTTTATACACTCGTCCTTGTGCTAATAGGTGTTCCAGCGATTCGTTGAAGTCGGCCGCTTGGCCCTGGTCAACACCGGTGACCTTGAGGGCAAGCTCTGTGTCATTGTTGATGTGATCGACCAGAGAAGGGTATGAGCATTACCAGTATTGGATTCCATGCTGATGAGTTCCAGCCTCCTAAAAAAGAAGAAAAGTTGTGAAAGTAGAGTTATGTGTGCTTGTTGCTTCTTCTGTAGGCCTTGGTTGATGGCCCCACCACTGGAGTGCCTCGCCAGGCACTGAACTTTAACGACATGTCCCTGACCGACTTCAAAATTGCACTGCCACCTCAGGCTCGCACTCGTACTGTCCGCAGACGAATGGAGAAGTCTGATGCGCTGGACAAGTGGTCCAAGACATCATGGGCTCAGAAGCTTCACCAGCGCACCACCCGCAAGAATCTCACTGATTTCGAGCGCTTCAAACTGAAGATGCTCAAGCAAAAGGTGAGTTTGCTTTTGGATGATTCAAATTTCTAATTTCGATACATAAGTTTGAGAATCGTAAAAATTATTCGACAAAATATATTGTTGTTATTGTCGATGTGGGCAGTGAAGTTCTTGTGCTTCTTTTCGTCTCGTGCTAAATTATTGTTGGTTATGAGCTCGTCTGTTAAAATTTAAGCCTTGGCCTTCGTTTAAAAAGCAAAATGCATTTTTTCAGTCACAATTGTCATACCCAATATTCGGTTGTAGTGGTAATTATATCGGATATAACGTCAACGATGGCTTCCCAGAATCAAAACATGCATCGCACACTCTGCAAGTAACGGCTACAATTATGCAGTGAGCAGGTGCATTAAAAGGCATGTGCACCCGATAGGCCTCACATGTCCACAACACTTGTACATTGTGCAGTATGCAGTAGAGTCACACGCCCAAGCGCGTTGTTTCCAAGGGATAGACTTGCAACGCTCCTATTTTTCAGCAATCTCGCTGCGTCCGTATAGCACGTTCTTAGAAACAATTCGTGCTGAATCCTATGTATTCCGAAAGCTACCAGAAAACCAACACCGCCGTTCTTAACTCTAGTCTGACTCTTATCATTTCAGGCTGGATGTTCTTCGGATCCACGTTCTTCTGCGCACAACCCTACTGCATGCAGTGTCGTTTGCATGTACACATAACCATGTGGTCGTGCACCTCGTTAATGTATAGCGGGATACATTACTTGCATATGATATCGCTGGTGGTGATGCATTGGATACACAATAGTCGCGTGCCGAAGGAAACGGAGCCCAAGGACGCAACGGCCGAAAGTTAAGAACTTTGGTGATGGTGTTCTAGCAGCTCCTGTAGTACATATGTATGTAGTCGTGTGCGTAATGCGATCCAGTATGAATTGTTTCTAAGAACAAGGTAAGAAGCAGCCGAGTTGCTCAAAGATGGAACGTCCTGGGCTGACCTGGAAACAACGTTGGGTGCGACTATTGTAGTGACAAAGGCACCGGTACGCTATAGCTGATACAGGCTGTTGTACAGTACGAGTCGTACGCCGAAGAACATGGGGCCCAAGAACATCCAGCCCGAAATACCAAGAACTCCGCAGCCTCAAGTTCTGAATTGCGGTGTTGGTTTTCTGTTAGCTTATGGGATGTTAGTACATAATGATTCAATACGAGTTGTTTCTAAGAACGCCGGCAGATTGCTGAAAAAGGAACATCCCAGGCTAACCCCTTGGGAACAGCGTCTAGCATGCGTTTTTGAATCCTGGCACTACGTTGTAGATCCTGCATATCTGTATTTGTGATTGGGGAAGGGATGTGATTATTTTTTTATTACACCACAAACACTGCGATTGGAACAAGACAGTGACAGTATGACCATGACAGATATTATAATGGTACAGTAAACTCCCCAGATCCGGGCAGATTGGGACCGACCACTGTCCATTACTATCAACAAGAGTACATAACCCCCCAGAGTGTGCAACTCCCACATACCCTGTTGTCCCGACAGAATTTCAAGTTGACGTCATTATTTATGACGCAATGCTCCTTGCAGCAGTGATTTACAACATGTGTACGGGTGTCAACGCATCACACGTTTTTCTTTGCAATAATTTGTACAGGATCGATCGGCTTCGGTCAACCACAGGTTCCGGATTCGTCTGATAATCCGTGTACAGTGCGCATTGCATCATCAAAATGACGTCAACTTGAAATTCTGTCGGGACAGCACCCATAGTGGAGTTGCACACTCTGGGGGGTTATGTACTCTTGCTATCAAGAATACACAACCCCCAAAGTGTGCAATGCCTGATCCAGCTCTGCATAGGGTCTTGGTCGAGCGTAATCGGGTCTTCTGATGTCATGCGTACACTCCACACCAGCGCAAGGCCTGTCTCAAGGGGCACCGTTGTTTTTGATTCGATTGTCCCCGGGTTCCTGTCAGATGTGTACGGTATTATGACGCAAAGGTCCGATTACGCTTGACCTCCCTATGCAGAACTGGATCAGATGTTGCACACTCTGGGGGGGGGGGGGGGGTATGTACTCTTGTTCCTATGAATTGCCCTTACTGCATGCAACTACATGTAAACATTTTTTAATACCAATCAATGGTTCGTTGAAAAGCCATTTTTGACTGTCGATGGGTCAGAAAGGTGCCCGGGTTAGGGGCATCTGGATGTGGGGAGTTATTGTACATGTACTATCAAGAGTATATAAGACCCCAAGAGTGAAGAAGAATCCCCAGCATGGTCATGGCAGATATTCGTATTGCGTGCACACTATCCTTCGTTTGTTACTTAGTACGAAACGTACCCGAGACACATTATGTGAGTTTTCGCCATTGGAGATCCCACATGCAGAGTTGCACATTCCTGGCAGGTTATGTACGCTTTGTACTATCAAGAGTGCATATGCCAGGGTCTGCAGTTGTGGGGAATCGTCCCACGGCAAGGTTATTAAATTTTGTTAGTGTCGTGGTTTAACGAGTTTTGCACGATTCATGATAACCTAAGCATAAGGGTTTGCCGTGGGATCGGTTTTGTCAAGAGTACATGAAAACCATGTGCTCTTGGGTTTATGCTGCTTAGATGCTGCGCTGGGCACCATGGTTTATACTATTTGTATCCGGTCCATTTTCCCATGTGTATTTGCTTTGTTTCCAGCTTTGATTGTGCGATAGAGCCAGATTTGGCAATCACATTATGTTTGCTTTTTGCTGTTCATTTGTGTTGTCCTGTGCAGAGAGCACGAATTGTGCGAACCGCCATGAAGCAGATCAGGAAGGAATCTGCATAAGCTGGAAGTTGCTGGACAATAAAACTTTTAAAAAAGAACTCTAATTCTATCCGGTCAGGTGTGGTGTGTTCTGCTTGCATGAAATCAATACTGTGCTATATCAGTTGCAAGGCTTCCATAGCCTTATGAATGCCACTGTGCTGGGTCAGTGCCTTCATTACCAACAGTAGAGTTGCGCACCCAAGAACGTTAAGCCCATGACCATCAAGCCTGGAATACAAAGAACACGACAGCCTAACAGCAGTGTTTGTTTTCTGGCAGCATTTGGAATAAGTAAGATCCAGTAGAAATTGCTTCTAAGAACGCAGCCAGATTGCTAAAAAAATACGTAGAACGTCCCAGACTAATCCTTTGGAAACAACGTTCTTGGATGCATGACTCGACTGTAACCTTGCCTGCACTCTTGAACTAATGTGTAAAACTCGCCATCACTCTCACAGCAGGAGAGCGCATAACCACGAGTATGCGACTCCACCAGCTCCTGGTGGAATTTTGTCAGTCTTTTGCGGCTGTTTGGTTCACAGTCATGCGTACAGTAGAGTCGCGTGCCCGAGAACGTTGTTTCCAAGGGGTTAGCCTGGGACGTTCTTATTTTTCAGCAATCTTTTTGCGTTCTTAGAGACAATCCGTACTGAATCGTGCTGTCGAAACACCGCTGCTTTCCTAGCTATGTTAGATGCAAAATGACTCACCCGGCCCACTACGCCATGCCATAAAAAGCAAAGTCCACACAGAAATTTCAATCCGAATCCATTTGTTCAACCTTTCTGCTGAGGTGTATAAAGCGCGATTCACAGAAGCTTTTTTGCGATGCGACACGTGATCTGCGACGGTGGGTTCGTCACCACGGTATTTGTGCGGTTTGGTACAACGTGTACAAATTAATAGCCAACTCTTGAACCTTTGTACAACTTTGCTGTAGAAAAAACCCAAAATCGTACGTCACATCGCAAAAGTTGAGCAAAGCTCAACTTCTGCGATGGCCCAGTTGCGTGGGGTGCGAGATGGCTGCGATTTCCCGGTTTCGCGGCTGCCGCATCCCAAAAAAAATAAATGGCGATTCACAATACATGTCCAACTTTCTGCGACGCGACACGCAAATCAGTCGCGACAAGAAAATGCCTGTCGCAGAAATTGAAGAAAGTTCAACTTTTGCGACATACACAAATGGAGTACAGTTTCGACCCTGGGTGCACATGATAGTATTACTAGTACCCACTGTACCAAGAGTCCATAAACAAGAGTATGCAACTGTGATCTCTTTTCTATGGGCCAGATGCGCGGCGCGCTGCCTTCATTACATCGTTCAGCTGCAGTCCGTGCACTGCGGAAAATCAAACACCGCACTTTCCCTCTGGTTTGAAATGAACTTTCGTACGGAACTGGAGTTCACGCGCCAGAATTTAGAGATCGCGTAGGTACTGGAACGAATCGAGCAAAAACGGATGGGCTCGTACGAGAAATTGTGAGTTTGAATACATGCTTTCAGAGTGTGATGAAGGCAAGTTATGTAATGAAGGCAGCGCACCGCGCACTGACCCATCACCACAGTTGCATACTCTTGTTTATGCACTCTTGCTAGTACTACAGTCCATTTCAAAACTATAGACGCGTACCTAGGCAAAAACCGTTATGCCAGCATCTATACCACATAAAATCTGTGATCACTTTGTGCATAAATTTTTCCAAATTGGGCGTCTGTTATCCAATCGTTTAGAAATTATATGAGAGTAATTGTGGAGCGGACCTGAGCAATATTCCGAAAACTATTCTCAAAAAGCTCCAGCCAAATTTGAAATATTTCAAAAACCCTACGCGTCTATAGTTTTGAAATGGACTGTAGTGCATTAGGATGTCGCAACCATGAAAAAGATTGCGAACCGTGTGTCGCTGTCGGAGGTGTCGCAAGAAGTTGTATTGTGAATCGGCCTTAATGCTTATTCATTCCTTTTTACAAAACATTCTTCAAATGTCATTTCATTTATGAAGCCCCTGGCTTTATAATTGAATATACCGCCATGGCTTTAAAGGTGCGGACTTACTGTATAAGCTTTATGCACGTTGTACAGGTGCACGAAATCTCATAGAATCCCGTAGACCCGGTTGGGTGTTGAATGTGCAGGACCGGGCCTATTGCGTTTACTGCTATTTCCACTAAGAAATGGGCGCTGAAGGCATTTCTTACAAAGATCTAGCTAGTTATTCGTTCTAGCCAAAGTAAAGTGAGGAAGCTGGAAAAGCGACTGTTTGCCATTACATGTATGAGGCTAAAATTGGTCAAATGCATATGCATAGCACACAATGAACGCCCAACCGGGTCTGTACACACCTACGGTCCTACAACATTTAATATAGTAAATTAAGAGATACTTGGCCCACATCAAGTTGTTGACTACTTCCTTTGCAGTTCCTTGCACATACTTCTGATTTGTTTCCCTGCAATTTCCATGGGAACAGTCTAACCCATAGAAAAGAGATGTTGCATGCTCAGGGCCACTCTAGGGTGGTGGCGGAAGCATTATTTCACTGTCCCCATGGAAGATATGCAGTCTCGCACCACTTCTCACCATCTAGCCTTCTACAGTCCGTTTCAAAAAGATTTACAATCCTGGCGATCGCCCGCGGAGTTTGGCGTCTTACCGTATGAGTACTCGAGCACTGCCTGGAAAAACTCACTGTGAACTCGAAGAAATATTCCGCGCGAAAGCTAGACGTTAGGCGGACTTATCAGCTGTGGCACGCGTAACAATGTGTTGTTGTTTTTTTGCCGGGAAAGTCAGTAAAAATGATGTGTGGGTCCCTTTACTACAGTCCATTCAGAAAAAGATGGACTTCTAGCTTTTGGCCATAAATGGGTCAAATGTTGAGTTTTTTTAGAATTTTTTTCTGCAATCTATGGAATCCTCTTCCAATTCTGTTTCTGAAGTCTATTTCTCCATAAAGCAAGCCATAGCAAGAATAGGATTTCGGCCAGGTTTTGCCCCAAGCGCACTGAATTGGGAAAAACCATCAAAATCCAGGCCGTTTGACCCCACCTGCAACAGTGCATTGTGCGGTTCGAAGTACTTCGAACCCCAGTTCAGGTACCCTTTTTGGACCCTTTTCCAAATTTCAAATTTCGCAGCACTGCACTGTATACGATAACATCTTGAAAATCGCCAAATACGGGATCTCGCCAGAGCCAGGGCCCATCTTTTTGTGAATGGACTGTAGCAGTCCTGAGCCGTTGGACCAAAAACATCAAGAGACAGTTGTAAGGATAGTGTCATCACGGGCTATCACCACCAAACCGTAGTTTCTACTTCGAAGTACGAACAAGTAAAGACCATGAAGACTAAGAAGACCTAATGGTCTGTTGGGAATGCCCAAGTAATATACTTTTGAACGGTAATAAAATACACTACAAGACTGTGCAACCAATAAATCAAGCTTTTGTGTACTATAATATGATGTGAATACTTGCAAGTAGTTTGCAGGCAACCAGTTACCTGCCTACACTCAAGAGAGCACTGCATTTCACACAAATCCACTAGAAGTATTGTTTCAGCGCGCTCTCACTAGGTACCGCGCTTTGTTTCCTTGTTTATTAAACTGCTGTTTTTTTTCCATGTCCACCTCATTCCTGATGATGGTCCGTGATGAAGACCGAAACGTTAAAACGATACCTAACGGTGTGAAATGTAGTGCTCTCTTGAGAGTAGGCAGGTTGCCTGCAAACTATTCAAGTGCAATGAAGCTTGCATGAAGCATCCTTCAAAATTTTGATAATCATTATGTTTATAAAAAGAAAGGACCAAAATGTTACATGTTGCACCTTTTCAAGTGTTTGATTGTGGTACCGGAAGTCTGCCCCGCCAAGCCGCCGTCCGATCGTGGGCCCCGGATCTTTATTCGCCAAGTTTGGACCTGTTCAATTATACGAATCCAGGTCCGGGTCACGAGTCGCACAGATGCGGATCTTGTCAACCCACCTCCTAAACGACCAAATTCCCAAAGGCGGATTCAGCGAATCATCAGCAGATCCATTTTGGCTCTGCCCCCCCCCCCCCCACCAATCGGGCAAAATTCTTGGCTTGGCGGCGGCGCGGAAATCCAAGTTCCACCGTGAATCATTGAGTGCAGCCTGAGAGCTCTGGGAGCTCATTTTCTCTGGCCGTCTGGGTATGATGTGACATGGCGACTCGAGTGCAAGCGTAGACAAGGCCTTTTTGTCATTGTAATAATTATTACATGTACGTGTACTAATGTTTGAGAGTCACAATCTCTGATAATAAAAAAATTCATGCACACACACACCACACACATACACACACACGCACGCGTAGATCTACACACAAACACACCATACACCTGTACTAGCTGTACCACCAGGCCCGGTAGATCTACGCGGTATTACCAGGCCAGGTATATTTATAATCATGCATGCATACCACCAAGAGTACCGTATTATCTCTAATATACTTCAGAAGTAAGCACAGTCTCCAATATTAATAGCACGTCTCCAATAATAGAACACCTTGGGGCGGCATTCAAAAAATAAGTGCTCAGTCTCCATTATAATATAAGCACACTGTGTAAATTCATTATCTGTACCAGCGAAAAAAACCCTGAAGTGTTTTCGTACTCTAGTCTTGATATATACCACACACACGTCATGTTATCACGATGCACGCACGTGCATATTCAAAACATTTGAAAAAACATTTTGCAAGCTAGCTGACACTAAAAAAATAACTACACAGTGTAGTGTAGCTGAAGCAGTGAAGCTACCAGAACATAGCTTGTGAGTCGCGAGTCAAGCAAAACATTACCTGCATCGCTGTGTAAATTTGCTGCTCCTTCAATGATCAAGTAAGTAAGTCTTGATGAACTGAGAGCTGAAAGTACAGTGTCCTGCAGCCTTTCAATAAAAAGATAAGATGGCCGTGCGAGGAGCTGCTCTGCAGCATCAGCTGAGAGAACTTGTTTTGTCTATCATCCCTCCCCTGTCTGTGACGAATCACAAAGGGCAAATGGGTCGAGTGGCTGTAGTCGGTGGAAGTAAGGAGTAAGTAAATCATGAAATGTAAAAATATGATTCTTTTCTGAAATCATTCCATTATAATCATGTTCCATCACCCATCAACAAAGTTTATGACATCACTGCGCATAATGTTTATGAAATCGCTGAGGATAATGTCAGAAGATCACCGTCCAGGGCCTGGAAAGACTTTGAATGGCACTCGTTGCAATGATAATTGTAGTAGGAACACATATAATGAGACTTCGGGTATAACGACACTTCGCGAATAAGGACACATTTCTGCTGCCCCGCCGAGTGTCGTAATATAAGCGAAGTTGACTGTACATACATTCCTTGCCGTTTCATCACGCACACACACACACACACACACCACCACCAGTGGTGTACCGGGAGGGGGGGAGTGCTTTGGGTGCTCAAGCACTGGAGTTCACGCGCCAGAATTTAGAGATCGCGTAGGTACTGGAACAAATCGAGAAAAAATGGATGGGCTTGTACGAGAAATTGTGAGTTGAATGCATGCTTTCAGAGTGTGACGGAGGCAAGTTACGTAATGGAGGCAGCGCGCCCCACACTGACCCATAACCACAGTTGCATACTCTTGTTTATGCACTCTTGCTTACAGTATACAGGCACATATGAGACATACGGTACATGTACTCGTAAAAAGCAGTACTTTTGGCCATGTCAGCTGATTATCATTTTTTATTTTTTAACCCTTTATTGACGGACTGCACGAGTTTCGATCATATATGATCGAAAGTCTGCAGGCGGTACAATCTTCGTAACTCCATCGTTTCCTGAGCAAATTCCACAATCGAAGGGTCTACGTGGTAGCGGAAACTCCAAGCTGTCCAATGCAACAATCGCCGAAGAGTTACGATATCGGACGCCAGAGATATCGCACGCCGTATTCTTACCTCGGCAAGTTCAAATTTTTGATCGATCATTTCGCCATTTTGGGGGAAAATCCCTTTTCGTGTGCTCTTTGAGCGACTGAGCACATGATAATGACGTAGCCGGCTGAAGTTTGAATCGTCTCAAACAGATTTGAGCGTTCTGCGATGAAGGAGAGTGGAATGGCGTTGATGGGACGAATTTGCTTGCATATCAGGCTTGGAGACGACTTTGCTGTGTTACCGCGCTTGATTTGTGGTGGCTGGATAATGGAGCTTGGTACCGTGGCGTTGCTCTCGCCAAGAGCTTTCCAATGAGCCCTTGATTGTGAAAATCAAGTGAAGGACACCAAAGTTATGATATGGAAAAGTTGAAAATTGTACGACATTTTGTAATTCTGGTGCATACTGTGCTAGTAATAGGGAGTTCAGTCACGTGATAAATCAGCTGAAAACAGCCTTCACGCGGGTCACGTACATTAGCATGGTAGCTGTGGCACCATGGACTTCGCTGCAGTTTTTTTTCGAATTGCTATGTCCTGCTTTCATTTTCAAAGTTGAAAGTTGGTGCGTTTGATAGCTGAGGTCTTCCTGCTCGTTTTGGTGCCGCACTTGCTTGGGCAACTGTAGTTTGAGCTTTTTGTTGTGAGGAGTGTAGTTTTCAATTGGATTTTTCATCCATTTGGAGGGAGTACACGGCCAGGAAACACCCACCATCGTGTTCAGCGACCTCGAATTATGTAGAATAGTGCTTTCTTCTCGAGCTGGGGGATCGCTCTTCATCGCGCTTTCAAGACTTTCACCTCCTGGTCGCACAAAATGAATGAATTTCTGGATCCAATATGTTCAAGCGCTAGGAGTGTTTCAGATGATTTATTGGCCCTAGTGAAAGATTGCACCTGACGGAGACTTTCGCTATTGCGACAAAGTGAGCTATGATTTTGTATTCGACTCATCGCCTTGAAACCAGAAAGAAATTGCTATGGAGTGGTGCTCTGACATGGATCGCGTCAGTGCTTGGATTGTACGCATATTTCACTATTGTGCATTTTACATGTCAAATGTACATGTACAGGTACATGATTGATCAACTGTGTGACAGCCGCAGTGAAGTTGGGCATCTGAAGTCGTGAAGACCAAACTGCTGTATTTATTATTTGTACATGTATAATGCAACCATAGCCATCAGTGCTCACTTCAATTTCATAGTAATGGAACTCGTGTTCAATGGATTTAGCATTGTTGCTATGGTGGTTGCTACGGGCGCCGCGCTCGTTCTCATTGGTCATCGCTTGCCGAAATATTATATTTTGATCAATATTAGGACTAACCAACCTGTATTGCACCTATATAACACCTATATTGCACCTACAGGCCAGATTTCATAGCATTCTGACAAGATTGTAATGTTGCTAAGCGTTTGCTAGGCTTTCCGGAAAACCCTGTTGGTGCCACAGCAGTATGGCATTCCGCATACATCATGATGAAGGTTGGCGTAAGACTTTGACGCCTCATATCTCTGGTATCCTTCAAGATTTTTCATCCAAATTTTCTATGCTATATCCTGTACTGTAGTTCTTCCCGAAAACAAACAGTTTTTCTGGTTTACTACGAAAGAAAAAAACACGGTGATATCCCTACTAGTAATCCGTCCATAAAGGGTTAAGTCGAGGCCTCTATTAAGCCGCACTGGAGTATAAGCCGCACCCAGATGTGATCATTGTAGTAATTTACTGACTTTTCGGGGTGAATTACTGGTGTTTAAAGTGCGGCTTATGCTGCGGAACAATACGGTAAGAGTCAAGAAATGGTCCTCCAACACAGTCATGTTTTTTTTTTTTTTTTTTTTTTTTACTAAGGCCACAGCTTCCAATCATGACATGCAAAGCAGCGGTGCAGCATCGCAGGCATGAATTGTGGACGTGGTGACGGGGTCTGATGTGCTCCACCGACCTAGGGTCTCGGCTTCACTGCACAGCAAACGCGTCGAAAGAAAACGGGGGCTAATAATTATCGGGAGAGGGGGGGGGGAAGAAGAAGAGAAGAAAGAGAAGAAAGAGAGAGAGAGAGAGAGAGCGAGAGAGAGAGAGTGAGAGAGAGAGCGAGAGAGAGAGAGCGAGAGAGAGCGAGAGAGAGAGCGAGAGAGAGCGAGAGAGAGAGAGAGAGAGAGCGAGAGAGAGAGAGAGAGAGAGAGAGAGAGAGAGGGAGACAGAGAGCGAGAGAGAGAGAGAGAGAGAGAGAGAGAGAGAGAGAGAGAGAGAGAGAGAGGGAGACAGAGAGCGAGAGAGAGAGAGAGCGAGCGAGAGAGCGAGCGAGAGAGCGAGGGCGAGAGAGAGAGAGAGAGAGAGAGAGAGAGAGAGAGAGAGAGAGAGAGAGAGAGAGAGAGAGAGCTGGGAGATAGAAGAGCACAGTGCTCTTGGTGATGGGGACTGCGAAGGATAGCAGGTTCTGGGATATGTGCATGAGAATCAGAATATTGGTGATGATGGCAGCAGGGTTATAAGGTAAGCAGCTGAACACTAATAAGAACAGGGAAAGCGTTGGCGAGCAGATTCAAAGTGCATCAGTAGCAGAGAGCCAGTCCTGAGCAAGAAGGTGACGGTACACCTTTTTCTTAAAGCTTTGCATGTGAGGCTGGGCGGGTGGGTGGTGGAACAGGTCTGGTGGCAGGGCATTCCATGTTGCAACAGTGCACGCAGGGAATCCTTGGAGACAGCTATTCCGGGTGTTGGCAGGCAGGCCAGTTGTCATCTGGTATGGATGGGAATCCTGCAGCTGGAGAGACTGACGGGTAGGTCTTGTCTCGGGGGCACGGTGAGTGGCTGGTTTAGGCAGCATCTGCTTCAGAGGGCTGGATGCATCTAGATAGCAGAGCTTGTAGGTATAGGCAAGTGCAGCTACCAGGCGACGGAGTGCCAGGCTAGGGAGCCAAGTACCTGCTCCGATGATGTGGAGGGCCCTTCGCTGGATCTGGTCCAGCTTCTTAAGATGGGACGAGGGTGAGCCCATCCACACTAAGGGGCAATACTCGAGTGTGGGTCGCACAAAGCCGTTGTAGACGCGTTGGCGGCTCTCGGCGTCCAGAATGGGAGACGCTCGCTTCAGGAAGCCAATCCGCTGGTTAGCACGGGAAGCTAGGGAGCGGAGGTGGAAGGAGTAGCTCAGGGTGTCGTCAAAGGTGACTCCCAGGAGTTTCAGCCGACTCTCTTCACTGACCGGTGTGCCGTCAAATGTTGCTCGAGGGAGCTCCCAGGGCTGGCGATGGTGGCCTATAGACATAGCCTGCGTCTTGGAGGGCTCAAATTTGATCCTCCACTTATGTCCCCAACGGGAAAACGCATCAATGCCCTGCTGGAGGAGCTCGGAGCCACAGTCAATGTCAGCTCTTGGTGTGAGGCAGTGGAAGAGAGTGGTGTCGTCAGCGTAGGCGGCTAGCTCCATACCTGGTGGGAGGTGGTCCTCGCCATCATTGGTGTAGAGGATGAACAGGGTGGGACCAAGGATACTGCCCTGCGGCACGCCAGCTTTGGTCGGGTACGGACTGGAAAGTTCACCTCCAACTGCAACCCTCAAGTGACGATCAGTCAGGTAATCCCTCAGCCAAGCGAGAAGTGGACCAGTTACACCATAGCATTGTGCCTTGTGCAAAACGCCTACATGAGAGACGCGGTCGAATGCGCCAGCCACATCAACTGCAATGACTCGAACTACACCACCTCTGGCTGCAACGCGACTCCATTGGTAGTTGAGTAGCGTGAGTATGTCCTGGGTGCCGAGTTGGCTGCGGAAGCCATACTGACTTTTCGATAAGATGTTGTGTGCCTCCAGGAACTGTCGGATTGAGTGGTTAATAATGGCCTCCATGACTTTCGACAGAATAGAGAGGAGGGAGATCGGGCGGTAGTTCTTAACATCAGACTTGGATTTTTTCTTGTGCACCGGCACAACCATTGCCGTCTTCCACATTGTAGGTTGCCGACCTTTGTGGAAGGCCTGCGAAAAGAGCCGCGACACTGGTGCAGCCAGCTCTTTGCTGCATTGCCGGAGTACACGCCCGGGGATGCCATCTGGACCCGTGGCTTTGGCGGGATGTACCGTAATGTCGCCTATCAAAGCCTGGCTTTTTCCTGTAGAAGCCGATGTCAGTGCTATCCTTTTTTTTGAAGTCCGGCTGCTATTCTAACCAAATATTTCTCTGTAAACACTAAAGCCAGGCTTATGTGCCGCCACTGTCAGTGCATCTTGAAAAGCAGGTTTGTTTTCAAAAACAGGCTTCTATAGGAGACAGGCTTTAATACAAGACACCGCGTTATCTAGTATCCCACTGGTCATTCCATTGTGCGTTGAAGTAGGTAGTAGTAGTATTGAATATTCAGTTGAAGTAGGAGAGTAGAAGAAAATCCTTACACCTAGCAGTGTACATGCTATAGGGTTTGTAAGCGCTGCATCACAGACAGGCTGGACTTATGACAACGCTGACTTTTGGATCCACTTGGATCCAGGTTTTATATGGATCTATACGCGCTGGGTAGTTGTCGTTCACAGCAGGGTGGCACATCCGCCAGCACCGACTGGACTGCTGTACTTTGATAGGGTCAGAGTGGATCCATTTTGACCCAGAAGTCATTTTTTGACTGCTGACGTCATCACATTCATGCCCTATAGTATAGCAGGGGCGTCACACACAGTACGACCGGTAGGACGATGGTCGTACCACTTTTCATCCGAAGTGGTCCGCCCAGTTCATCCAAAAAAGAACTAAAATGTTCGTAGGATCATGTGCTTGTAATTATGTGATTGTGATGCCCCCTGAGGGCCCTCGTGAGCCCTAATTTGATTTTTTCCGGGGGAAGTGTTTATATCCATCGTGTAAACTGTCCTAAATAGATTGTGATGCCCCCAAATAGCCCTCGTGAGCCCACATTTGATTTTTTCCTCACGTAGACGCGTTCCCCCAGACACCCTCTTTCTTCTGGCTTCCCTTTGGTCGGACCACTTTTTAGGACCGTGTGACGCCCCTGCCCTATATTGATACTGTGGTCAGTCATGTGAGGCACCTGCATACCAGATCACACTCTTACCTAGTGTACATGTGCACATGATTGTATAGCAGTGTCTGTTCCAGGATATCAAACCAACCCAATACATGTGTACCTGTTCCAGGATATCAAACCAATCCAATACACGTGTACCTGGCACAACTCTTGCAACCGGGTCGGAGCCAGGCACGTTGAAGTGCGGCTAATATACGTCAGGAAATCGAAAAGATTTTTTATAACTCCTTGGTGTGCAGATATGTACTTGTACTTGTACTGTGCAATGTACTGGTATGAATGCGCTGGACACACTGTCCTCGTGCACCTGCAGCGGCAGTGCAGCCTGTCATATCAGTGTACCCCCTTGAAGTATCAAAAAGTACTCCCAACTTTTTTCATTATGTAAGTGACAAGTGACCCGGTGTTCTTTTTCCAAACGGGTCCAAGTACCTCCATACAAGGTCGCCAGATTGCTAAGAAAGTTGTGGAGCTAACCAGATTGGAGGGTTTTTAGCACAGTCTACAACATAATATTAATGTACAATGTGAAATGTTCTACATGTGTATGCCCATGTCTATTGTGTTGCAGGTACACCGGTGCTCCATACTATGCTGCTATATCTGCACTGAAACTGGTATGTAACGTCATCACTATCACTGTCGCTGTCACGTGGTGTGTTCTGCTTTACCTGTTCTGGTGTGGAAATTAGAACAGGTAATACTTTTCGATATTTGATCTTGGAAACCTTCAAATCTTGTTCGTCTTCGCCTGCTCCATGTGCTTACTATGACTTACGCACAACAGGAACAGACACAAAGTGAACTTCTATATCTATATTCTTCAGCGTTGTCCAACTAGACAGGTGGATGGGTAGCTCAGCTTGAACCACAGCGAATACATAGCGTTATAAACGTACGTCATGTGAAACATTGTGACATCACGCATACTACCGCACAGACATACAACACATCCATTGTGACATGACGCATACTACCGCACAGACATACAACACATCACGTAGACTCTTACCAAGCGACATACTAGATAGCATGGTGGAAATCCCATGCTTCTTATTGCTCAAGTTATAGCCCCAACAGCACGAATAAGCCAGAGAGCAGGCGAGATCCGAAGAGCGGACCAAAACAGACCAAAGCATGCACTGTCCTCAATTACTGTACATAATGCCTCTGCGTGGAATTGTGTTGTTGATGACAACTATTACTTGTTGCTGGTGTTGCTGTGATGATAGGGTGCTGATCTGTCGTTTGTGTTCTGCACGGAAAATGCGGCAGTGCCAATCAAAACCTACAGCCCCGAGCTGATTGTCATTCCTATGCTGTGAGTTTGGTGACTGTGTGTTGTGTGTGTTGTGTGTGTTGTGTGTGTTGTGTGTGTTGTCTACTACTACTGTCTACTAGTACTGTAGTGTCGCGTATAGAAGCATGACCTGTATAGAAGCATGACCTGTATAAAAGCATGACCTGTATAGAAGTATGACTCGAATAGAAGCCGATTTTTCGAAGCGCGCCGTGGCACAGAAGAATGATTTGAATAGAAGCCGCTCTCTGCAAAGTACATGTGCAAGTGCATGTGTGCCAGTGTGCACTGCACAGTGTAGACTAATGATGTTGACATAGAAGCATGATTGTTTGAAATAGAAGCATAGCTTGAATAAAAGCAGGGTTTGAACCCCGGCTTATACGGCCGTAAGCACCTGCTTTTATACGCAACATTACGGGTATGTTCTGTTAACCGACTTGGTCCAGAGGTGCCAATTATCCGAGTTCTTACGTGATTTTACAGAAAGTCACTCCATAGTCAGCTACCTGTACCCAATTTGATGTGAATTGCATTTGAAGTGTATGAGGTGTCTGAAAGCATACTGAAGTACTACTTCACATTGCATAAAGTGTACAAGCATGTGGGCTGCCTGCACACATGTTCTTTACTGGACCCGAGAACACAAAACTGTTATAAATGCGTCGGATAAATCTGCTGTGAGGCTGAGTTTTCCGCATCCATAGGAACGGCACTACCCTCAAAGACCAAGGCGCGAATGCAGCTCCTAAAGCTGTGGTAGCTGAGTAGATCAGACCCACCACAAAGTGACCAAAGACTGAAAAATCCATTCGCTGCATCCATGTTACCCTCGTGCCAGGGCATAAGCTCCCAATTAGCTGCGGGTTGCAGCACGGCTGGAAAAATCCTTCTGCTTCTAATGAGATCTTGAACTTGGTATTATGTACTTTAGTGTAGCACATTGTTCATTCACTGTACACCAGATCCAGCAATATTGTGTGTGTGTGTGTGTGTGTGTGTGTGTGTGTGTGTGTGTGTGTGTGTGTGTGTGTGCGTGCGTGCGTGTGCGTGCGTGCGTGTGCGTGCGTGCATGCATGCATGTGGGTGTTTGTGGTGGGTGCATGTGTGTGGGCATGTGTGCGCGCATGTGTGGGTGTGTATGTTTGTGTGCATGTGTGGATGTGCACGTGTGGGTGTGCATGTGTACGTGTAGTGACTCTGACAGTGCTATGGATGTGATGAAGTCACACTGGCTACCTCGTCTACACGTTCTTGTTGTTGGTCCTGGGCTTGGCCTTGATCAGCAAGTTCGTGATGTGTCCTATGTAAGCATATTGACAGGCAGTAAAATTCTTGCGCACGAAAACACTGCTTCCCTAGACTGAGCATGGTATGTTTGTTCTGTGTTACGACGGTCTTTACTGCTGTTTCCACGAATGATTGTTATTATTCCCTGTTCTTAGCTGTCTTCTCTCTGCATTTTGTTATATGCCACATGAGTACTGAGTCTTTGGGTGGAAACATCTGTTTTCATGTACTGTACTAGCAGAAACAGTTGTCGGGTATTTGATTTCAGGGTTTGCGGTCAAAGAGTTTTCAGGTGTATAACTTTTCACTTCTACAACTCCAAAAGCGGTCTCTTCACTGCGAATAACTTTAAATTCCGCCAAAATGTCGTGGCTGGTCCATCATCGTATAATATAAAATCAAGAGTGCATAAACACGAGTATGCAACTGTGGTTATGGGCCAATGCGCGGCGTGCTGCCTT